TCAATCCATTTGACCTATTTGAAGTAATTTGTTACCAACACTATTTAGTCACTTAGGTGCGGCTAGGAGGACTCCTGGAGGCAGTGGATAACCTCACGTGGACGGGCTCCACTGCCGCTCATCAATATGTAGCGAGAACGCTGGCCCAGCCCTCAAGGGAGGTGCCTGTGATGATGACTTGTGCACTGAGGGAGGGGCGCCAGCAAAATGATAATGGGACTCGAGACAAGCAGTCGTAAGAAGGGAGCGGCTGGAAACAGCAGCGCGAGATACAACCCAGGAGGGATGAAAGCTGAACGCCGTCGAAATCAGAACCAGAGGTATCGGGGTCAGCCTTTCGCTAGGACGATCACTAAGGTCTCTGCCAAGAGAAGAATTAATGGTGATACGCATGTACATTACTCGAGACGAGCAGCCGTAAGGTGGATGTAATCAGAACCAGAAGTATCGATGTCAGCGCGACGTGAAGATGCCTTTCGCTAGGACGATCACAAACGTCTGTGATAAGAGAAGAATTAATGGTGATACTCATGTATATTACTCGGGACGAGCAGCCGTAAGGTGAAAGAAATGTGATATGACGACCGAACGGATAGATACGTCCATTGCTAGGCAACGGCGAAGTAAGCACATGTCCGCGTCAACACGCAAAATTTCGAAAGCGAAATATTCTATGCGGCATTTGCTACAGAAGGACCATCAAATACGTGCCCGCAACAAAGAATAAACGCGCAACAGTGAAGAAGTGGTTGCATGCATTTTCTTTTAAGTATGCTGGCTGGTAAATCGTTGCCGGTCCTCGCCAACGCAAGTATTCTTTGTTCCGAGTCCCTCGGGACTCATGAACGTATTTTACTCTCTCATGACACTGGGAGCCATACAATTCTGGCTCGTCTTCTATGCGGTACGTGCCGAAGTTACATAACGAGGGCCAACTGGACAAGCCCAGTGAAACGACAGTGACTCGGAGGTAAGAATCGGCGGGTACCAGTCTTGAGTTGCACTGTTAGCAACCGTTACCTAGTAACGACTTGTGAACAAACAGAAGACTTTAGTGTATTCTACCTGTAGTGACCTACAGAGTGTAAATCAGCGAGAGTGTAACAAGATATAAGCGTTCAATAAATACAATTATCAATACAAACTCCCTGTCTAGTCATTAACAAGGTGAACTACACATATAAGGAACGAGATGTTACATTTGGCTTTACTAGTTACTAATTTTTAATGCAATGTATTTTCAATCTCAATTTAACATAGACGCTATGTAAGATCTGATGTTTTCACGGCAGTGACTATGAAGAAAGCAGTCTTCTGGGATGTGGCACCGTGTAGATGTGGTATTAACCGACGTTTCGAAGGAACGTATCGCCTCCATCTTCAGGGTAGAAGAAAAAATAAGAAATCAGCAAGCGAAGCAGTCTGCTTGTACCGGTTCTCACGGTCTCTTCGCTTGTGGATTTCTTATTTTTCTTTCTACCCTGAAGATGGAGGCTGTACGTGCCTCCGAAACGTCGGTTAACACCACATCTACACGGTGCCACATCCCAGAAGACTGCTTTCTTAACATAGACAAATTTACGGAGCGATCTAAAATTAACTTTGAAGGACAAGGCTTTCTTCGTTTTTCTTTATTATTTATATTTGTATTAATGCAATACTTCATACGCTGATAATGATAATGATTATGATGATGATGATGATCCGCATATCATCATCATCATCATCATCATCCTCATCATAATATGAGGAATGAAAACTCTCACCGAAAATTCAGATCTATTTCTTTGTTAACCCTTAAGGGTAAGGCATGAAACTCATCGTAACGTTGTAACCCGTGGCCCACACTTTGCCGTGTCACATCCCAGAGGGCCGAAATGTCAATATCGTTCACAGCTGCATCCTCGGGTCTTATATGTCACATTAGGTTATAGCCACTCCGAATGATTGTAACAAATATTATTAACACAATTCTTTTACCTGTCTGCAGGACTGCAACATTTTGAGAGGATGGGCTGAACTCCGCTTGGGAACGTAAAAGTGAATGTAGAATTGTGTACGTCTCCGTTTTATTGGTAAAGCAGCAAGAGCGTGAAGCTGGATACTCACTTCACTTAGTACGGAAATGAAGAATGCCTGGAGCTATACCTCTATTCCGCATACGTTTTCATGGCTCACTGCCTAACTAAATAAGGACAGGCACAACCACTTATTTCCTTATCACATATTCCTTATATAACACGACAGAAGAAAAATTTCAGCACTCACACGTGATACGTAAACGGTTGTCACATTCCTAATGGCAGACGAATCCTCGGAACTTAGCCACGTGGGAATAACTATTAGTGTTGGCTTCGTCACGTCGAGGAAGTCTGTAATTTTGGAGATGTTTCCTGTTGTGAAGACGGATGGATAAACCGCATTCGAACTGCGAAAAAACGAAAATACTATTACAATATCACGGATGTGCAAAAAGTGTAGAATAGTTCCATACACTAATAAGTACACTTGTAATCCTGCACTTACTATTATAATTCATGTTCTAGAACAAAATATTATAGTTCGTAGTAATTTGTGTTGTAATATAACAGACAAAGAACTGCGTGACATGTAGTCCGCAAGCAAACTATACCGACCGAGCGACCGCCGCTTGTCGGCGAAGTTAGTGCCAACTTTTGTGAATAGAGGGTGTCATGTGGTCAGCGCAACGAATCCCCGTGGCCGTTAATCTGTGTTTTCTAGACCGGAGCAGCTATTTCCTTGAAAAAGCTCTTCAATTATCATCACGAGGCTGAGTGGACCCCGTTTCATACCCACTACTTCTCAGAAAAAAATCTGGAAGAGCCGGGAATCGAACTCCGATCTCTGGATCTGTAGCCAGGAACTCTTGCCACTAGACCACAGCAGACACCGGTATGAAAATAATATGTCGGCAAATTTCCACCCATCTGTTACGGTAGCCGAGCGGTCTAAGGCGTACACTGTCTTCGCTCTCTCGGAAGCCGGGATCGTGGGTACGGTGCTGTTACCACTACAGTAACGAATGCTAATTTTGGAGGATTGTAGTGAGAGAAGATAAACAATGTCTGAATACATACGGGCATTTTGGTAATCACAATTCTATTCTGTCAGAAATAAGAAAACATTCTTTCATTACCGAACCGTCAAAGTTACATAGAGCCTTTGTCCTGCTAGCTATACACACATGAATGCAGTCGGTAACACTGATACGGTGCAGTTCTATTCATACCTGTTAGTGAAGAGATATCTTGCAGGGTCTTCAATACATCTTGGCTCCGGCACTAGACGTAGGAGGGTTTGCCATGGGTCGCCTAACTCATAGCATTCTCTATCGGGACAGCACTTCTGCTTGGCTGTGGGGCAGAAAGCAAATATCAAGGAGTAATTTATTCACCTCAACCTCAGGAATACGGTTCTCTTTTCGAATCTTGAAGTGACTGTGTGATGACAGGAAGGATACATGGACAGTTGGATTGACAGACGGATACAGAGGTGTTTCGTAGAGATTTAGGTTTCAGGACGTGTGCATTTCAAACACGAAATATTGTAGCACACACCCATGAATGAATGGGTGGATGTATTCATCCAATAAAGACAACTACAATGTATCACATTGGGAAACACAATACAGTTTCAAAAAATTCGTCATGCACATACCACCAAAACAAAACAATACGTATACATTCTCTCTGTTAATAGTTACATCACAAATTTTCTGTTTGTTTAGAGGTATTTAGGTTCATACAGAATTATGAGTGTGTACTTCTGATGTGCTCATTGCAGTAAGCAGGTACACATACAGATAAACGAAGTTTGCAGTAAGACGCGTGATTGCATGATCAGTATCTTTGTCCTCGGTTGTGTGTATTGGGACAGCTTCATCTCTTATAAAAATTTTAAAAGGAAAATTTTACTATCTGTTACAAGTCCTCCTAAACATCCTTCTTCTTATGAGTTGGTGTTTTATTATTTATTTTGCAATCACATCAGAGTTCAGAAGGTGAGATTATGTAGTTCTTCCCTGATATATTTTCGGTGTTATGAATTTGTATTACTTTTTGAAATTGCGCTGAAATATGCCATCTTTTGAGATATGACGCCGAGTAGTTTGGTAAACATTTAAGGCGTTTCGGACAAAAGTGCTGCCTCCTTGCTCAGGTCTAAGAGTAAGCAGACGAAGTAAGGAAGGAAATAAGCAGCAGGCAGCACACTGCTTCCTGTTCCCGATAGTCTCTCACATGAAAGCCACAAGTCTCATATTGGTTCATTTACTTTACGTGAGGGAAGCACTGTGTCGTTAATTTTTAATTCTCTATGGCGTGATTGATATATATTGCTGTATTCTATGTTAATTTTTCATAATTTATTTTATCGTTATGTTCATATACATTCGTAAATCAGAATCAGCAAAACTTGGTTATGTGACTATTCCTATGAATTCAATTAACCATTTCAGAACGTTTACAAATCTGTGGGCAGCAACAGTAAACACAAATATTATTGCGGGATACGTAACAAACTGTACTACGATTTAATTTTTGATATAATTATGTACACAAATCTGAGCATATGTCAATTTTGAAGTATATTGGAACAAATACATTAAAATACATCAATAAAATTCATTGTGAAAAAAGATAAGAATTAATTCTGAAAATGTTTATTATTATATACTATGATAATATTTCAAAATATCTAGCAACGATATTAAAATATTTCAATGAAATTCATAATGAAATAAAGATAAGAGTAGTATATGAAAATGTTTTGGTTATTCCATTCGAAAAGAATATTTTTTTCCCTCAGACAACCCGCGTTTCTCTTATTCCCTCAAAGTGACAGATCCACTTTCTGAGTCAGCTATTCAGACAAAGAACCCATAATAAAAATTATACCATCTCTTGAACAGGAAGGAAGGAACACTCCTCCCTGTGCATGAGACTGTATTTAGGTGTGTTTCCGTTTGCCTATGTACTCACCACAGAATGATGAAGAGACAAGCAACAGTAGTGTGAAAAACAGGAGAGTATAACACATAGTGTTCCCGAGAATGTGGTCTCTAATGAGAAAACTTGTGTTTGCGGTGTTGTTGGGGAGTTCTGCAAAGTACGTGTATTACATATTGCAATTTACTTCCTTCCTATATATGTTTTTTATCTTTCTATTCATGAATGTCTAAACAGATAATAGGAAGTTCAGGCGGAAGAACTTGAAACAGGCTTAACTACTGATATGTAAGAATAAATTACAATTCACAACTAACTCAGGTGAGATATAGACCGTGTCCTTTTCTCCGATTATTTTGACACGCGTAACTCATAACCTAAAATATTTTTTTATTTTTTATTGCCCCCCCCCAGCTCTGCAGCTGTTTAGACCTTGACCGATTTCAGTTTCTTAATCCTATGCACATGCAGTAAAGACTCTTTGGACGGAGGAACAGACCGTCGCAAGGCGGCTAACTACAAGCAGAACAACACAAACATATAATAAACGCCTCAAGTGTGATTCGAACCCACGATCCCGGTGTTTGATAGCTCCTCAATTATCCTTACGAGGCTGAGTGGACCCCGTTCCAGACCCACTACTTACCAGAAAATCTGCTAGCACCGGGAATTGAAGCCGGTACCTCTGGATATTTAGCCAGGAACTCTGACCACTAGACCACAGAGGCGGTCTGTCACGTGAGTCAGGATTGGACAAATTGATTGGTCTACCTCTATCTGCATTTTTATATTGGTTGGTACATTTCAATGCATTATGCTACTACAATTCCAAATGGTCCTGATAATTGCTTCTAGTTGCCCAAATTTCAATCTCAAAGCATCTGGTAATTACGATATACGCTTTCCTCGACCAGCTTTTTGTGTGTGTTCCTCTCACTCATCTCACTCATATGTTGCACTCACGCGTTGCTTTACATTGGGCCATCCGTCCTGAGGGGTTGGATTCAAATCTCTATCATTCATTTTAAGCGACAAGCGACCCACCTGACTTCACTAATTTAGTCATTATTCTACTAAGGACACCATCACTGTTGCTTACTGTAATGGAGACGAATTGCATGGTTTGTTCTAGAAAAAAAAAAACTTTTTCTTCTTCTGCTTCTGGATCGACGGACAAAAAGGCTCAGTTGCCTCTCTTTCCAAGTCTCTCTCACGTACTCTTGTCAAGCCATTTCTTTATTCGTTGATTTCTTTTTGTATCTCGCTAAATCGTCTTATTCTTGACCCACCCCAGGTCTCTTTCTTTTAATTTTTAATTTTTATTCCTTTCTCAGTATATTTTTCTATCCTTTTTTTCCATGCTTTCTCCACTTACCTTGTTAAGAAATTTCGAGTCCCAGTCTTTACACTTAAACTTTTACTTCTAATTCTGTTCCTTCTTATATCTGTCTCAGTCCTGAGAAATATATCTGCATGTTCTTTCCTAGGATTTAACTTTGCTTTTTGTCTGTAAGTGTTATACATGATGTCCGAGAATGAGTGCACACATTGGAAATATTTTTGTAAATAAAATAATAAAGAGTGCACGAAAAACAACAAAAGAAGCTTAAATCGAAGTGCAGTGAAAAGGAAAAATGTGGGTAAAAATCTTGTTGAATAGTCCTTTAATGTGACTGAAACCCTACGCCCCTAGCTCTGTTTATTTTCTGAACAGAAGTGTTCAAATTGTATGCACTTTTTCTCGGACACTCCAGATAATAGTATCGGTTCGAAATATGCGCTATAGATTTCTACCTCTGATTGTTTTTGGACATCCCTGTTCCGTAATATTCCATTTTTAATTTGATAAAGTTAGGATCATTTTATATTCTTCTGCATATCTCATCCTCGACACTGCGCCATAGCTCAAGCGGTTAATCGTTGGCTTCCCACCGCGGCGGCCCGGGTTCGATCCAGGGTCTGGTAAAGTGGGATTTGTGGTGGACAAAGTGGCGCTGAGGCAGGTTTTCTCCAAGTACTTCGGTTTCCCCTGCCAATCTTCATTCCACCAATTGCTCCACAATCACCCTCACGTATCATCTGTGGCCGGTACAACAGGCCAAAAGTGGCTGCAGTACAAGGGACTTGGTCCCACCCCACTAGCAATAAAAGAAATATCTCATCCTCAGTTGTCCCTTTTGATTATTTCGCTTTCAAAGAAATGAATTTCTGCACCTGTTCAACCATTGTGTTATTGGATTCGGGTTTTACTTCTGTGCCTACGTTCCTAGAAGTCCTCAGACTACCATCTTCTTCCATAATTTTCTTCGGTCCATATTACTTCACGATAAGGAACACGCGTGAGGCGGATATTTCTAGAGCGATGCTGACAGTTTCTCTTCTACCTTCCACTGATACTGTACAAACACTTGGCTCAAGTTTCCAAGGTAAAATATATCATATGAAAATAATTAGGACTTTAGAATAAAAGCATAGCAACATTGGGTTTCTGGTACGCTGATGGGTATAACTCACAAACCCCCATCCCCACTTCCTTGTTACGACTATAAATAATAGTCATTACACTAAGTTATAGGCCTCAGGGAACATCGTCATTTACAGCTCTTTAGACTGTCATATTCATGTCCTAGACATTCTGGGGAGGCGGGCAGTCCCCACAGCCTGTCTGAAAGAGGTCAGAGAGAGAGAAAATCTCTTTCTCTTGAGAGAAATTGAACCTCAGTTTCTCGGTTATTCAGCCTATAGTAGATCTGTGTTAACTGACAATATTTTATCTAATTTACAAATTTTAAAAGTTTGATACGTGAGAGAATTACAAAAAATTCTTAAGGTCTCCAAAGAGTACCTTAATACTACTAATAATAATTATAATAACAACAACAGCAACAATAATGATAATAATCCAGTTAAATTCTTTATTTATGTGCTTTCACTCAACTATAAAGCAAGTATGAGCAAAATAAGGGAACAAAAGTCTCATGCATACATACATACACAAAAAAAATAACATGTTTTGGTCAGTACGAGAAATTCAGTAAGGGTAGTAATAGTAACCGTTATGCAGTGAGAATATATATATTGCAATTATTATTTCAATCATAAAGAAAGTTCCAGTATAAAATATGATCAAGAGAGACGGTTTCGGTTCCAAATATGACATGTCCCTACAAACAACAGTAGCAGCTGAAGTATATTTAGCAAATGGAGGAATGTTACTTCAAAGCAAGATACTGGACATGCAAAATTCTTTGTCATACCGAGAAAGATACCAATGACCAGCAGATACCAAAAGAGAAGGAGAAAGTACGAAATCAAGGTAAACTTGAAAACGAAACTTGGAACAATGTGATACAAACTCGTGTGTAATATGTTGAAATGTTGAAGTCTCTAAGGCATTATCTCAACTGTAACGAACATGAAGGAAGAGAAGATAATAGAAAAAGTCTGCTAGCTTATCTTCGGTGTGTTCCAGTTTGTCACCAGTTTGAGTAATACAATTCCAGGCAACGGCGACAACTGAATTCTGAATTTTAACTTGCTAAATCAACAACTTCAGTGCCCATTTACAAAATCATCACAGAAAATAAATAAGAAAATATTACAAGCTCTCTGTGGTCTAGTGGTCAGAGTTCCTGGCTAAAGATCCAGAAGTCCCGGCTTCGATTCCCGGCGCTAGAAGATTTTCTGAGAAGTAGTGGGTCTAGAACGGGGTCCACTCTACCTCGTGAAAGTAATTGAGGAGCTATTTGAAGGAAATATCGGCTCTGGTCTAGAAAACCGAGATTAAAGGCCGTGAAGATCCGTTGCGCTGATCACGTGACACCCTCTATCCGCTAAAGTTGGCATTAATTTTGCCGACAAGCGACGGTCGCTCGGTCGGTATAGTTCGCTTGTGGACTCAAGCCACGGAGTTTGCATCACTATGAGGCATTGTTTTGCATATAAGACGTAAAATAATATTAGTATTAGTCTGTTTCTCAGACAGATACTCTTTCTTATTTGTTAAGCCGCTTCATAAATCTTGTGCAAAGAGACTTAAATTTTGCATGGGTAGAGAGAATATGCAAAGTATGTCTTCGTTGTTTCGTTAATACGTATTACAATGAATTTCTGACCCGTACTAGTGTCGTGTCGTAGTAAATATAAATAAGTGCAAATAAGTCGGTATTTTTAAATTAGTTGGCTGCTGTGAATCAGCTGCAAGGACACGTAGCTTCAAGAAAAGTGACCGCATAATTATATGGCAAAAGGCGACTAGGGGAAAACTAGAAGACGAACAGGCGTCGAAACCCATTTCGATGTATTATTGCGTCATTCGTCTAGTGGAATTGGAATACGTGACGTCCCATCCTTAATTCGAAATATGCATCTCCAACATACGAAAAAAGCATGAAAAGGTTTTCATAATACTGTGAAATATTGACTGAAAGCCGAAATAGAGGATAAGAAATATGCTGCCCTTGGTGGGCAAAGGCACGCTAAACAGGTTTCAGCAACAGATAGTCAGGGAAAAATAGAGGACGCGCTGTTTCCTACGATATTACAGCAGTACCGTTCAATGATAACGTCACTCACATTTAAATAATAATATGACGAAGGCCGCGAAATTTTTGCCTTTAACGAAAATTTTGATTCAACGTGGCACTCTGTACTGCTATAAAATCTCTCAGAATTAGAAGGTTCTACAAGTCACATCAAGCTAATTGCTTCTTTTCTCACCAACAGGAAATTTAAATCTCGATAGAATGCAAATTTTAAGAAATATAGATAGGGGTGCCTCAGGTTACTACTTAGTCCAGCACTGTACAGTCTATGTACGATATAAACGACACCCGCGACACCTGGAACTATTTCTGCCCTGTTTGTGGAAAACACCGTTACGTACGTGACAAAGAAACACGAACGTCATGTTCTCTGTAAACTGCAGCGCGGCCTCACTTCAGTGAAGTCGTGATACGAGCGCTGGAACAAAAAGAATAATGAAGGGAAAACTGCTCAGTCTGAGGACGGATTACTACTGAATGGACGAGTTATTTCCTGTGTAAATAATATAACATATTTTAAGGTTATGTCGTTCACAGTGGCTGCGCGGTCTGAGGCATGAAATCTCTTCTCTAACTCGAAATCTGGAATCGTAGGTTCGAACCCCACCCAAGGTATGGATGTCTGCGTGTGCCTTTAATCTGTGTTTGTGATGTTCTGTGTGTAGGTAGCGGCCTTGCGACGGGCTATTCACTCGTCGAAGCCGTCCTACCGTCTGTGTAAAAAAAAATTGCGAAACTGAAGAAGAAGCGAGGCTAACAAAGAGCTATGGGGCCATTGATGAATGGAAAAATATTAATATATTTCAGCATCCTCTTGTACTGTATATATCTGACTTTGGAGCTTTTGTGCCGCCTATGCGCAACGTCGTTCACTATTCTTCTTCGTATTCCCGTATTGAAAATTATATGTTTCGGCCTAACTGGCCATCTTCAGGTGTACAAGTTGTTGTGGTTAAGGATTCTGCTGGTCACTATAACGCGGGATTTTTTACCTTGTTTTAGTTGCTTCTGGTTATTTTGGTTATGAGGGTTGCACATGGTTTCCACAAAAACACCCACAACATTCGAATATGATGGCCGACCAACACACAAGAGAACTCCAGCCCCAGTAAGAACATTCAAGGCAACCACAACCAACAAACCAAATAAAATCGTATCATACATATAATAATTGAATACACGAACATACATGTATACCTTTAAAATGTTCTAACATAGAGCATTACACATTACAGAGAAGCAACCACGTGCAACCCAAGGACATTCAAATAAAACTGATGGTAACCCACATAACCAAAATAATCAGAGGGAATTAAAATAAAAAAAGAAAAGAAAAGCGCTTTACAGTGAGCAGCAGGATTCTCAACCGTAACCGCTTGTACACCTGAAGATGGCCAGTTAGGCCGAAACATGTAGTGGCCAGAAAAGTAACACGAAGGAAGAATAGTGAAGGACGTGGCACATATACCGTCACTTGTCAACTTCGATAGGACGATGATATGGAAACTCCGTATCGAAAGGACTGTCGCCAAGTCTTTGCGCACTTACGTAAGGACCTATTCCATATTCAGAAGTGAACGTTTAAGTACATATATTAAACTTTACGCTTCACAGAGCCCTTATCAGGTCGGTTACTGCTTTAGCCTGGCCCCGCTGGGATCTCATCTCTTGGAATTGCAGCGCCTGTAGGACAGAGTTCACCGATGTATTGGAAATTTTTACAGGAGCACACCGGTCATAGAATTGTAGGTGGTTTTCAAAAATTCTCTGCTTCTATGATTACATAACTAAATTATGCAGGAAAAAGGCAGAAGTAAACGTAATCCATGAGAATCCAAATGCGCATGCAATTGGACAAACGGTAACCATGCGTACGAATTATCAGAGGTTTAAATTTTGAGGGAGTCAAGCCTACGCCAGCTCAAATTACTCTATTTCCAAGCATATAAAGGGTTCTTTCCACCCCTGTTGATGCTGTGACGTCAGTATCTTTCGTTTGACACTGTATGAACAAGTGTGTATAATGTACGCACATATTTATCTAGTTTCGTGTAACAGCAAATAGGATAGACCCTTGAGCTCTGTGTACTCCACCTACTTCACCAATTAATATAACTCAATGGAATGGTAAGTCTGTCAAGTGTTACTTACTTACTTACTTACGGAGCTGAGCCCTTCTTGAAGAGAAGCGAAATCTGCAGCTACTCAAGAACTTCCCAGCATTTTATGGAACCCGAAGGTTCATTACCGTGTTCACAAGAGCCCTTCACTGCTCTCTATCCTGAGCGAGATTAATTCAGTCCATACCACCCCATCCTATCTCTCTAAGATCGATTTCAATATTATCCACCCAACCACGTCTTTGTCTTCCTAGTTGTATCCTTCCTTCTGGCTTTCCCACTAATATCCTAAATTCAATCCTCTTCTCCCCCATTCGTGCTACATGCCCTACTCACTTCATCCTCCTGAATTGATCATTCTAATTATACTTGGAGAAGAGTATACGTTATGAAGCTCCTCATTATGCAGTTTTCTCCGACCTCCTGTCACTTCATCTCTCTTCGGTCCAAATATTCTCCTCAACACACTGTTCTCAAATACCCTCAGTTTATGTTCCTCCCTTAGTGCCAGAGACCAAGTTTCACACCCATACAGAACCACAGGCTAAATCTGTCTACATTTGACAGAAGAAGAATTCTGTCAAGTATAGCCAGATTTAATATAATAAAATATAAATATATCTTTATATATATAAAGGTGTAGGCTATGTCCTGGCTAGTTTTTTCATAACATATTGAGTTCTCTTGCCTAAATTCATATTGTTCTTAAAGAATTCTGGCCATTTTACACGTTTGTTGAAATCTGTAAATCTGAGAATTCTAGATACCCTCGTTGGCTTTGATGCTGTTGGTCCTTTTACTCGCACACCCGTTGACGAAACCTTGCAAGTCATCAGATATAAGCTCTACAGCCATAACACATTGGTGGAGCGGTCTCCCTTTCCAGTCGGATTCATCGTGAAAATGCTGAAAATTTGTTTTTGAAACACCGACTTTAAGGTGGGCAGTAAGTTCTACCAGCCGAAAATGGCATGACTGTGGGAAGCTTTGTATCACCATCGTTTGAATTTGAGAAACTGGCTCATGTCTCGGACCAACACAAACCTCCGCTATGGCTCAGGCATATTGGTGATACATTAGTGCTCTGGCTGCATGGTCCAGGAAGTTTAAGACATTTCTTCAGCAACCTCAGTAGACTAAGTTCTTCCATCCAGTTTACCATGGAAATAGAGTCAGAAAATGTGATTCCTATCTGGAGGTACTGCTCATCAGGAAAGGGAAGACACTGACCACGACATTCACAGAAACCACAGCCACAATGGCCGACATCTCAGCTACAAAACTAATCATCCTTTGTATGTCGAAATAGTAATAATTCAGTCAGAGCAATAGAATTTTTGAAGATTTAAATAAAAACGGTGGTATTCTCGTAAGCTTCAGTAGAATAAGTAACGGAGAAAAATCTAAACTGAAAGACTAAAATATAATTTTAATTAAGAAATGAGGTTTAATATCTATTTTGTGTGGATTGCATAGGTATTTCTGTCGTAAGTCCCGAAACGAATATTTTAAGTATTTTTTTCTTGTGAGACAAATACATATAGTGCCTCTAATTGAACTTCATGAAAAATCTAAACAAGTCTGGCCTCACACAAGATAAATTGCCAACAAAATAGAATTTGACAATATGCTTGTCCTAATTAAATACGTTATTCTGTACCATTGCTCTCTGTATGATATATCATGCAGTGACAAGAAGCGTGATTTTTTTATGATGTATCTTTACTTGATTCAGGCGGTTTGGGTTTAACGCAATTCAAGAAAAAAACAGATTCCTAATGTACGTTGCTTTTAATGCACAACATGGTAGCATGGAGGACGGCAGTGTGGCGTTGAGGTAAGTGGAAGATGAAGTTGAGGAACCAGACTATGTAGCAAAATGTTAGTTCGACTATAATATATATATATATATATATATATATAAATTCTTAATAGTTTAAATTATTAGTTTTCATTTAGCAAAACCATAAAATCTGAAATAAAAGAATATTTATAATAAGAAACCAAATAAGAAAATTAATTCTTTCTCTAAATTGACTTGGCTTGTGTACGCAACCCCTCATTTCCCTTTTTTATATGAAGTAGTTCTTGATTTATACGTTTCTAATTTACCCCATGTTGTTCAGGAAAATTTCTGCAGGGTAAGCCGAGAAATCGCTGTATGTATGTTTGGTTTTCCTTGCATATATCCAAGAACTGTCAAAATTTAATTAACATTCCAGATCTGTCTTCTCACATCTTTCACTTCCTGAGACTCTGGTCGGAGAGAGATGTCCTTCAGAGCATATTGTAATATGTATAACTAGGCAACGGCTCGGTAAACACATTTCCTACGTAACAAAATCAGCTGTAGAGATTCGGGTACTAGGGTTTTGATAGGTGCAGTGTAATTGTAACTGATTAAAAGCCGATATATTAGACAATGAACCTCCAGAGCACAGTAACAGTGAAGAACGCGATAACTCGACTGTTGAAGGAGGTGATCTCTATTCGGTTCGACAAGAACCTACCTTAGGGAGAGAACTGACCAACAGAAGGCAGAATGTGACAGAACATAGAACAGGACAGAACACAGAAGGCAACAGAAGAAGAAGAAGAAGTCAGAAGTGAGGTCTTTAGTTTATGTGGTGTCATCATTTTTCGTAGATGCGAAGTGTTATAGTTACGGTAAGATTGTGTTACAACTAATTGTAGTTCCGCCTGGTGAATATCCAATAAATCGAATCATCTTATCCTGGTTCAATTAATTATTTGTCGCGTTACCAGGTTATATGACAGTATAAAGCTGCAGAAGATTGTCTGTATTGTTAGTTTATAATATTATTTATTGTTTCTGATTTGTCACTGAAGTGCAGAGCAAATGTGAAGAAATGTGCTTATCTTAAACGAAACTGTGACATACTCATAAATTCTGCCATACAAAGAATTGAACTGGATTACGTGCTTTGCATGTTTTTTCAAAACTCATAATATTTGTTGCAAAAGTGTGACTGCACAACCTGCACCTTCCATATTCCTCTCTTCAGATATCTCACTTACAGCTGCATATCCAAATTCTTACATTGTTGGAAATTCTTCTTACTGAAGGCGCCCAGTCTCTTTGTCACTTCGACTCTGTGAACACGTACACAGCTACATTATAGATATCCGTATTTGAAAACCCATGATGGAGTTGTATGAGAATTATACAATAAAACGTACTTATACAACCTATTTAAGTACTCGAATATTTAATAATATCCTAAAAATATTAAGACGGTAAATTTACCTTGTTATCACATTACAGGGACACTGGGTAGCGTAGCTAATTGAAGCACTAGACTCTAAGGCGGAAGGTCGCAGGTTCTATTACCTATGACTTCAATAGATTTTTCAGTTGACCTAATCCTTCCAGTAGGAAATATGACCCTGGGGTCAACTCAGCCCTCAACAGAAATGAGTACCAAGTGTCTTCCTGGGAGTAAAGGGTAGCCGGTGCGTATGGTTGACAATCTGACCGTCATATGTGAGCCTATTATCTCGAAGGAGTGGAGATCCTCGGCGTCTCCCAACCCCATGGGCCTTCACGGTCTATTACAGTGATAGCTTTACCATTTTACATTTTATCACATGACGGTTGGGATAATTTCCATGGAACAGGAGATTGATTAGGTTTAATAGACCAAGAAATACATGTACAGTTTTTGTTCCGAAGGTCGTGGGAATACTTGTACCTTGGTGTTTATATGTTCACTCACTATGCTACGAATATATTTAATTAACGGCCTCCGTAGTCTAGGGGTAACGTTCCCACCTCATGACTCAAGGTACGCGGGTTCAAACCCGGCGGAGGTCGTGGAATTTTTAAGGGCGGAAAAATTCAGGGAACAAAACCTCCGGGAAAGACTTTAAGCCGTGGGTTCCGTAGATTTATGGCACGTAAAAGCTCCTCATGTCTCTAGGAGACCTCTGAGCAAAATTAGGCAAAGTTTCCCGCCCAAGTATTTTCCAATGCCTCCGGTAGATGGGGAAGTATCGGGTACCACTGCCGGCCTCGCTGGCTGAACGGGGCTGATAGCCAGAACCAGTACCGGAAGGGTATGGCGACTGGTAGAATATCAAAGGGGGACGTACAATAGACTATTAGTCGCGGTGCATGGAGAAACCCACCCCCTCCAATAATAATTCAATTCAATTCAATTCAATTCTTTATTATTTATGTGCTGAGCCAACATCCGTAAGGCCAATTATAGACTCAGCACAGTGTATGATAGAAGCAGTTACATACTG